CCATACATCGAGCTGGTTACTGGTCTTCGCCTGCTCTTTGCTCACACTTCTGAAGCACTTGAAGTGTTTGCACTCCTTGCGTTGAGTTAGTTACTGTGATTCACCTTCTCAATGCCATTGAACTTCTGGAATGCAGAAAGTTTTCAACCCAACTTGGAGTAATTCTCTCATAGGTTTGGTCGCCTCTGGGATTGTACCGTCTTCTCCATCAACCCTGCCGCCTACTCCTCTGAGTAGCAAAGGTACAACACCGCGTACTGTCTGCTTCGTTCCTTGGTTATGCACTCTTGCATGACCCGAAGTCCTTCACTTTCGGCTATCTTTGATGAGAAGCACATTGACACCGGTCTTACAAAGTTCTTCGGCCTCTGCCCTTCAGCCTTGTCTCGGTACTTGGAGATTGCCTCTGCATTCTCCACCTCCTCGGCCCCTTTCACGACCAAGCGCTCTCCCTCCATGAGAGCAAGGGATCAATGACTTTCACGGAAGTCCCGCCTCTGCGGTACCATGGCGCTGCCATGCCCATGGCCCTACTATCCGTCGCCTCGCATCTGCATCCCTTTTCTTCACAATCAGTAGATATGCCTCTGTGGCACTCCTCCGAGTCCACCTCCATTCTAACTTATGCTTGATTTTGGGTAGCTAAGTCCCTCTGGACTCATCGTCGCTTCCTTGCCCCTTTCGACCCCCTGCTTCAACACCTCTGTGTTCTCCAAGCAGTCCGTTTGGTCGATGGAAAGACAGACTGCAACTCCCATGCATGGCCTCTGCCATCACATTGTAGGGTTTGCACCGATTCTGTTCTCCTTAGCTTCCTTGGTAGCAACGTTCGCTTACTCGACCTTGTCCTCTGACTTGTCGGGCTCCCTTAAGCGAATCTGAGCTCTGGAGCAGTCCAACTCTCCAGCTGCTTCGATCATACCTCTGCATGATCAAGTCTATCCCATGGGACTCACTGGTACTTGCATTCGAACTATTTCCCTTGGTGGAACCCAGCCATATGCTGATGACCAAGGTTTTCATCCGATGCAAAAATTCGATGCACGCCCGGAAGACCCGCCTCTGCGGTACCATGGCCTTCACTCCTTGAATCCATAGCCCTTCTTGCCGTCGTGTTGTTCACCGAAGTGGAGCTCCCAGTAGCTCCCGATCATACCTCCGTATGATCTAGTCCCTCACGGGTCTCAGTCGTGTGTATCGCATTGCCACGAACTGTTCCACCACGATCCGCTGCACCATGTCGCCTCCTGGTGACATCTCCATTGCATTCTGATCCTTGTGGAATAAACTCGAATTGTGAACCCTCCATGTGTGGCCTCTGCCAATACATCGCAGGGTCTCCTCCACCTTCGATTTTGTTCGCTCCTTTGGTAATCGACCTTCGTCCACCCACTCTTGGGTCACACCTAGATGAAGCACCGCTCTAGGACAGTCCGTCGCCTAGTAGCTCCCGAAGTCCACCGACTTCACTGTAATTTGTGCACCATTGTCTGGATCCTGGGCCTCTACCCCTACCAGCACAATCTCCGCTGCGCACTACTTCCTTCATGGCAACTTGAATGGCAACACTGTGGCATATTCTTCAAGAGTACCCGCCTCTGCGTCCTCTTGCCCCGTGCTAAGGCCTTTTGAACCCAACTTCGCCTCCGCAAATTGAGTCGCCTTAGTTCCTCCATCAAATGCTCCTTCGAGATAAGGTGCATGTGCCCAGAAGCTCCCTTCGTCTTTGGCACCATGCAAGATGAGTCCGCTCCGTTAGAAAGAAGGACCCATGGACCAACATGAACCTACTCTTGCCTCTGCAAGAGTTCATGTCCTTGACCTCTGTCTAAGAAAAGCACTGTGCCTCTGCTCCATGTTCCAACTTCTATGCTGGCTCCCTTCATGCGGCTTGGGTACTTCGCCAAGTTACACCCAAGTTGCTCCGCTCCTCGTTTTTGCATTGAGTCGATGGTGGCCCTCACGCCCACCATTCCACGGGTCAGCCCTCCCTTGAGTCCGATCTCCACATCGACTCCAAGTGTGCCTTTATTTAAGTTGCTTTGGGTCGCTCCCCCACTTGCTCTCGCAATGCATCCACCAATGCATTCTCTCAAGCGAGATCATGCGACGACTCCACGCCGCTTGCTCAGTCCATCGAGCTTCGTGGAGTTGTTGTTTGTTGAGGTACTCCTCCTCAACATGTGAGGTCCGTCTCACATGATTCTCCCTCTGGAGAGCCGGGACTTATCCCTCCTGGATAACTATCCCGTTGGAGCAACATCTCTCTTCGTTTGGGAGACCACCATCCCCTTGGACTACTCCGATCTGCTGAACAGACTGTGCATTGTTCTGCCTCCTGCAAACACACTTGCTAGATTGCGACTCCCCGTCAATACAGCCCCCGCTGTACCCCTCAAGGCCTAGCAACATGCTGAACTCATTGCACACTTCAGCCTCCTACGGACGTATCCTTCACATGCCGAAGAGAAAGTTTCAATGCTCCATGGCGCCGAGTTTCGGTCGCCTTGGGATGGCCACGAGCATTCCCTCGTTCGCATACAAGCCCATGCATGAGTACCAAATTCTTCGAGTTAGCAATTCCCCTCACCTCTGTGAGCTTTGCATAACTCTTTTGGTCGTTGAGCAACTCATTCCACCTTGGATGGTCTCATCCACTACCAAGCGCCTCGCTTGTCTTGAGCACCATCAAGTATGGTTGTCAACGTTGAGCCGTAGCTCAAACTCAGCCATCCCAACCTTTGTGCGCTCCACATTCTTCCAAGCTTGCCTGTTCTCGTGGTGCCTCTTGCGCGAAGGGTTGGCCATTCCTCTGAATGCCAATCTCAGATGCCCGCTCCTCCGAGCGACTCTTTTTCCCTACATCTCCATGCCCGTTTTCCCCCAAACGGTCGCGCGTGTGCTGACTGCCCTCAACGCAGCCCCACTAGGTCCCCCACGTTTGCATGCTAAGTGTTTCTATGAGTGCTTGTCCCGCTCTGATACCATCTGTCACGGACTTAGCTGGTTTTGCCTAAGTCGTACGGCACCCTTGCGTGTCTGTCCGCAAAGGTCAACCTCCCCAAAGCCTCCCATTGTCCCTTAGGACCACCAAAAGAGAGAACGGGTTAGAGAGAATGCCTCAATCGGGATCCACAAGCAAACATCTCCGAAAAACACTTCATAGACAATGCAAATTACAAACAGACTTTACAAGCTCTGAACAATGGCACAACAAAGGGTAAAATGGTCCATTACAGACCGAGAATCTCTCGCACGTGTCCACATGACACAACCTTTATTTACAAGCCTAAAGAGGCCACCAACCCAACTAAAATGAGACTCTTAAGCCTTCGGCCGCCCCTTTACATGCTGTACAAGGCATGGATATGCCAAAAGACACGGACATACATAAGCATTACATCAAACACCTTGTTTAGAAGTTTGTCCGTGACAATGTGTCAGTACACCGATATGTACTGGTATTTCAGAAAGAGAAAAAAAAAGGGAGAAGAGGAAGGGGTGGTGGAGGGACAGAGGAGGAAGGAGAAAGTAAGAAGGAAGACGAGGAAGTAGTGAAGGAGGAAGAAGAAGGAAGAAGAAAAAGGAATAAGAAGGGTGGAGAAGGAAGTAGAGGTGGGAGCGTACCTAGGAAGAAGAAGGAACATGACGGCAACAACGTTGGTAGCATCGTCGCAAAGAAGTGGCATCGTGAAACAGTGACAATGGCCTCAGCGATGATGAAGTTGCAATGACGGAAATAGCATTGAACACAAGAATAGGGCTCGAGTTCATGAGCCCTAATTTCTATTTTAGGATTTTTTATTTTTTAATGTCGTGTTAGACGGGCCCCACCAATATTTTTTATTTTTTTAATTATTTTTATAGAATTGGACCGAGCCACTTGAAATGGGGGTAGTCCACATACCGGCCCATGCCCGAATTGGTACATACCACCTGTTTCATACCATTTCGGGCGGTACAACAATCAATGATTTATACCAATAACAACAACACTTCCTCACAATTTTTTCAAGCTACACTAAACTGTCAGAACATCAACGAACAATTTCTATGGGGCATCAACTTTCTAGCATTGAGTAATAATGTCTGTCTGAGAGTGTAGAGGATATCTTTTAAAAAAATGCAGCTTATAATATATAAAAATACACTAAAAAGAATTGAAAATTGCAATTACAAAGTCAAGAAATTGTTGGTACTGCACCATGGGCCATGCCGGAAGTATTTCTGCACGGCAAGATAAGATGAATGAAACATGTCCCAGAACTCATCGTTTCCAAAAAGAATATAGGCTTTGATTAAATATTCATAAAATGAATCAACTCCTGCCAAAGTCATCAGAAAAGAAAAGAAATCATCAGCAAAATATTAAGCATAAGAACTTGATACAAATATTCAGAAGTGAAGCAATCACGCTACAGAATTCCAACCAAACAGATACATAGCAAAGCTGTTTAATAATCAATTTAATAATTCAATCTTTGTCATCAGCAGATCATAAAAACTTATTTATTGAAGTAAGAGAAAGTACCAGCGCCAACTCCAGATGAATACTCTATCCAGTCTCCAGTGACAACATCAAGAGTAGTACCTAAAAGGTTCAAAGGACTTCTCATGCTCCATAATTTACGAAGAGCACGAAGAGCAGCAGCTTGAAATCTAGGGTCACCAGTTAATCGTGATAATGCTCCCATTTCAAGAATAAGAGAACCTGAAGCTAGAAATAGTTTATTTACTTCTTTGAACATGAAGCTGAAACTTTCATCCACGATAACCTAAATTCAAGTCTCTTACCACACCCTGATGTGCTTGTTTCTGTTGTCTCATCTTCCATTACTCCATACTACAAATCGTGAAATTTTACAATGGCATGAGATAAAAGGAACTTAGCAATGTAATATGCATACATAACAATCGCTGAAACTGAAAACTTTCAACGTGACACCCTTCAGCATTGTGACATGCAAAGTCTAATGTTTTGATCGTAATGGGCAATATGGATTGGTATTTACAATTCCCAGGGTTCTCAATTTTGATGTGTACCGCCCGGTATTAGCGTTGTGACATGCAAAGTCTAATGTTTTGACCGTAATGGCTAATATGGACCGGTATTTACAAGTCCCAAGGTTCTCAATTTTGATGTGTACCGTCCGGTACGAGTGGTACGTACCGGTCCGAGAGGATACCAATATGCGGACCACCTTCTACCGAGCAATACTAGTGTTTTGACCGGTACCGAGGCATACCGACCGATACCAAGGCATGCCAACCGGTACCACCCCGGATTTCTGTCATTACCGAGGCGTACCAGTCGGTATGCCCTGGCGTGATAGGTGGAGGTATTTTTAAGGTTTTAAGTTATACAATCGGTATGCCCTAGCGTACCAACGGTACATACTAGTACATATCATACTGAACAGAGCTTGGTACGCCGGTACGAACCGATATTCAAAACCCTAACCAATCCAATGTTCGATCGGCACACAAATCAGACAATTTTTCTTGATGTAGTCAGAAATGGCGCTTACTACCTAATACGCTCACCGAACTAGACTTATCGGTTATAAGCCAATCAGTAGAAGTTGTATCAGACAGTAAGTACCAGTACCAGATTTTTTAATTATTTCTGTTTTTATGGGGATAAAATTTATTTTTTCTCCTCTCTCTCTCTCTCTCCTCTGCTGCCCCCTCATCTCCTCCACCCCTTCTGCCACCTCCTCTTTTCTTCTCCTCCACCTCTTTATCATCCCCACCACACCACCTAATCTTCCTATTGGCACACCTCCTCTGCCTCTTATCTTTTTTCTCTGTCACAACCTCCCCTCTTCTCTCCCTCATTCAATTCTTCCCTCCATCTTTCAATACAAGAAAATAAATACAAGTATTGTATCAGTTCAACTAGGGACTGGTATGGATTCAGAACAAAACTCTAAACCCTGGTTTTGGTTAGTATTTATCCAAAATTCTAGAATAAGTTGCATCACTGTTAGATTGGTATCTCTTAATGCTGGTGGTACCTCTGTGCAACATCAACTTAACAAACTGATGTTAACAAATAAATTTTTTGTTTGACATGTCAGTGCTATAACAATGTTTGGCCCTTTTCAGAAGTTATCCTTTTCATATCTCCAATCTGGTAACATGTGATACTTGCATAGCCTATAGGCCTGTTTCACCAACCAAAATCAAAGATGGACAAAAGTTTCAGAAGCAAATGCAGAAAGACAGTATCCTTGCACCAAACCACTCATTATCTAAATTTAGTAAGCAGTCCATGCTCCATGGTGAGACTTGAACCTTGGCATTCCATGAGAAAAGCTACAGACTTAATGAACTAAAATATCTGCAGAGTATTTTGTTGTATGCACACCTTATATGTTATGTTCATGTGCTAATTTAAGTTGTAAAAAGCAGTATTGGATTAGTTTAAATGTATATAACTATGTGTCTGATAGTTTGATGGTTGGTGTCATTTATAGTTCTAAGTTGTCTCAAAAGACCATAATAAATGAGATCTTTGAATATCTTGGTTTCCAACTGTTTGAACTTTGTTCATTTATTGCGGGTTAGTATTCAAAGGATGTTAACTAGAATATTATACAGCAAGCAGTGTACATATGTTCCTGTTCAGAACAATTTATAATTAAACTTTTAATGTCATTCCTAAAGAAAATATATTACATATATCAGGGAATGCAAAATCGACCTGTTTTGTACATTTCAGCAGGTATTTACCAGTTTGACAGCCAACACGGACACTGTCTGCCCCCATTTATATATATATATATATATATATATATATATATATATATATATATATTAACACGGGTTTTTAAGGCTTGTGTCTACTGAGCCTCTGTGCCTGCTCATGAGTCCACACCGAAGCCTGATAACATCGTCCACTGCCTGCCGGTACTTCTTCCCCAAAAAAATCAAAAACTCACAACCCAATGGTATCACGGTATTATAGGATGTACCAGCATACCCACACACACACACAGTACTTGACCGATATGGATACCTGAGATTGCATTCCTTGCCAATATATATCACCTATCTAGCCTTAAAAAATGATCCAAATTTGAAAATGAGGATAATTTAGGCTAACATGTGATAAACCTGCCATCAAATAACATTCTTCATTCTGCAGAACAGTTGTGGCAAAATAATGTCACATTTCTGGAATGAATCTAATAATTTGGCAACCTTATAAACTAGCCAGCGGGTTATATTAGCAACATTAGAAAAACTTAAATGTTGTGAAGCACTCGACAAATTTAGATGCGACGAACAAATATAAAATGAAGATACATTAGCTACATATGTTACCTTCAGATTAATCCACGCATATGGCAATCCAGTAGGAGTCTCAAATGCAGGTAAGAAGCGCTGACCTAAGTCTCTCGCCAAATCAAGTAACTGATTCTTGTACAAGCCATGTTCTAACCTGCTTTTAGAATCAGTTGCAAGAATATGAGCAGAAACAAGCCCCCCAAGAACTCTTATGTTGCACTACAGAAGTAATAAAAAATAGGGTTAAAAGCATTGGAACATCATCTACAAAATTTACTAGGAAGTACATAGCCATTCCTTTTAAAGGCCATTTTTTTAAGTATACATGATATTCACCAATTTTAACCAACTAAATAAACCTTCCTCAGTTTCATACGATAAGTCAAAAGTAACTAAGAGGTATACCTCAAACAGGTTCACACGAGCATCCACATCAAATGTAAGGTTGTCAGAAAGCCAAAGAACTCCTCTTTCAAATTCTGTGTAGTTACCTAAGACAACGAGACTACAGAAAAAGGAGGATCATCATCTATTCAACTATTAAATAAAATTAAAGAAACAAACGAAGAAAAAGAATATGTGAACTTGACATCCTCCCAAGAGCAAAACCCAACTTTTACAATGAAAACAGAGCATATATCATGTGGATGCACAATCTTAATGCACACAAAAGCTCTTCTAATGTAACCACACATGAGCTATTCAAAGAATTCTGGCTTGTCTACTGTATCAGTTTTTGTACATATATGCACAGCCTTTTATTAGATCCAAATTTCAATCAAAATGATGCTCCAGTAATAATTGAATCTCAATTAAATGGAAAGTCATTAGGAAAACAGGTAAATACGATCAGGAAAACTGGAGAGGAAACACCGAAAACTCAATAACTACATTTAGTATCACCAAATACAATTTTTGCTAGACCAAATAGATACCTTGACAATGATTCAACAAGTGTCAATGCCGATCCATTGTAATTCTGGGGCAAGCGTTCCAGCTAAAACAAGACAGATGAACAGGTGCTTGAGCAAACAGTTTATTTGGATATCACAACCGAGAAATGATACCACACATATCAGAATGTTACCACCTTTAAATTTCCAAGTTCACTGAGTGAATCTGTGAAAGTTTTAGTGAGAGGCTTTAACTCATCATGCTGTAAAACAAGAAGATTGCAATTTAAAGTATTTCATATTTGATAAAGCAAAGACACCAAAACATATCAAAGAAAAATGGATAAAGAAATTGTCATATGGTTACAAAACTCACTGGAAATGCATGAACCATGTAGTTTTCATATGCATGGTAAAACCTGAAAGGAAAACATCAAACAACATCAAAGAAAATGGATAAAGAAATTGTCATATGGCTATAACACTCACTGGAAATCATGTAGTTTTCATATGCATGGCAGTCCCTAAAAGAAATTCATTGTCAGATAAAAATGACAAATTATGTTTTTTTATCGGTTGTAAGTAATGCTTTGTGAATCCAAGTATTGGCCAATTAAGAAACAACATATATAAAAAAAATTCTCTAGAAGATCATTGTTCGACCAGCGATACTTTATGGATTTGAGTGTTGGACAGTTAAAAATCAATATATACAAAAACTTTATGTCGTTGGAATAAGAATATTGAGATGACTATGTTGTGTTACTAGGAAAAATTTTTAAGAAAATTTTTTTCAAATGTGATCTCGATAAAGGATAAAATGAGATAAAATAAAGAATAATCATTTATAATAGTATGGACACGTGCTAATAAGGCCTATTAATGGCATGAGAAGACATCGAGGAACCCTATTAGAAACTATAAATAAAGACTTAAATATTCTTAATCTAATTAAGAAGACTACGTAGCCGACTCCAAATAATTGGGACATTATGGGATTGTTGTTGTTGTATCAGTTATAATCAATGCTTTAGTAATCAATTCAAGAAGTTCTAATAAAAGCAATCTCAACATGAGGATAGATGGTTGACCATTCATATTCAATTAAAATGAGATAAAGCATGAGCACAACAACTCTATCTTGAAGTTACAATGTATCACTTCATTAATAAACAAATGATTATCGAATTTTAGGAGTATATATGTGATAATTGTGAAAAGAAAAATGCATACCTTGGGGGAAAAGAAAAGACAACTTCATCATTGATATGATCATGACAGTGTAAAATATGCAATTTTCATAAACAACTGCATATTAACAAAGTTATGATTCGGAAATACCCTACTTCCCTAGAATATCACTCAAGATTTTAAAACCCAATCGTACCAACCAGTACAACCAGTTTTTAACAGTCCAACAGTTGACCAGTACTCAGACTGGACAATCCCAGTACAATTCAGGACTAGTCTAACCGTCAAGTTGCTTACCATACTGGACTATGACATGGTAAGTTGACTTATACCCGGCTGTACCTAGCAATGAGCATGTTGCCTAGTTCTGGAACGGTTGCACCACTCTTCTTTCTCTTTTTTCTTCTCTTATTCCACTGCTCTGCTTCTCCTTGGCACTGTATCACAACCTCCTTCCCACCACCACCAACCCTCCTCCACCTCTTCCTGGCCATGTTGTTAAGTCATTGCCTCCTCTTGCTTAGCTTCCTCCTCTCTCTCTCTATATCTCCCTGCTTGCAGTGATCTGGTTGATACCAACTGGTATCAACTCGATACACTTGTATGGTATCGATACCCTACCAATCCGATTGCTTACATGTACTGGAAATGGGTGGAAATTTCAATCCCTAATATTAATATTAGACCAGAAAAAGCTGAAGTAGGACAAAAAGGTATACCATCAACATCTACAGAACCCTGCCACACCACCAAGTTCAATTGATGCCAAAAAAAACAACTGTCCTCCAGCCATCAGCATCATGTGGTACTAAATTTCTATATCTTTCTTGCTAGAAGCACCTAATATCTGTCGTCAGTTGACTAAATAAGAGCAAGCTTAAGCAGTACAGTGAACTCTGTAGCGCAGTGCGGTGAAGAGGTACAGGGCGTAGGTCTTCCTTCTGCCACCATCTTTCAAGAACAAGGACTAAATCTACATAAACACGAAGAGGAGCTGAGATCTTACTGACACGGGGCCTAATACACGAGGATGTGTAACTTGTCATGAATGGATGAGCTAATTACATAAACTCATATAATTTGGACCCATCATCTACAGCACCCTATCTAAATATTCATCTCATCGGACCAAATTGCCGTCTTTTTTATCTAAATCGAACAAAGCAAACCTTTAATCCACGATTTAGAACGACGGCAAGTAGATCCCAATACCAGTTCACAATACTTGAATCGAACAAACGAAACCCCAAGGAACGGAGGCGAATTGACGATTCCACTCACATCTTCCGGACCTTCTCCCTCATGTAAACCTTCTTGGCGGATCCCAATCCGGCGGCCGGGGCGGCGAATGCGGAGAGGAGCAGAAGGACCAGAAGAAGCCAACTGCGAGATGCCGCGGCAGATCCGGCGCCCGCCATGGCGACGGCCGATCGGCTCGAATCCGATAAATGAAAACGGAATTCGACGACGACGCGGACCGATACGATGGATGCGGAAACGGATTCCTCCCGCTGACACCTGTCTTCGGTGGTTCTCCTCCAACAAATGGACAGCAAATGAGCCGAACTCGGTGTCCACTGCCACAGGAGAGAGAGAGAGAGAGAGAGAGAGAGAGAGAGAGATGGAAGCCGGGCCAATACCTATAAATCGATGTGAGAGAGGGAGAGAGAGAGACGAAGCTGGACGCCGTGGCAAGACATCTAAATCGATGCGACCGAACCGCTCATTGGGTTCGAATCGGACTCGTCGGCCTGGGTTACATCTCACAGACGGAGTCCGAGTCGAACACAAGCTAACTCAAGTGAAAGGGTTAGGGCTTCTAATTTGATTGACCTATTTGTTGGGCTCTTGAAGAAATCTCAATCGTTAGATTAAAATCCGACAATTATTAGCATAAGACGGTCTTATGTCCTTTAACTCTGCATCAACCGTCCAAACTATATATATATATATATATATATATATATATATATATATATATATATATATATAAGATGATATTGTAATTGAGCTCATATCAAGCAAAATATGACGTAGTAGTCATATAGTGGAGTTGTCAAATATGACAAAATCATTTACGTTACGGAAACGAACAATAAACAATTCGACTCCTACTATAAAATAGAAATAGTTAATACCTCAACTCATTAGTATACTAAATCTAGAGTTCAAAATACATCACATGCAATAGACGCAAACTAATAGTAATAAACTCATTTATTGATATATATATATATATATATATATATATAATTATATTTATTTTCTTATTTTTTAAAATAAAATTTTATGGAGTGAACATTTGAAATTTTATCGGCCACCCTCAACATCTTCATCTCAATTGTTTTTTGCACATTAAAACAAAAAATAATGTGAACGTGGATTTAATAACATAAGTGTAATAGAATAAAAAAACTTAATTTCCTTTAAAATAAATATTTTTAATAGAAATAATTAATTATTATTAAAATAATTTTTTTATCAAAAAACTTGTATTAGGTCATGAGTGAGTAAGCATATTGTCCTCCAACTTTGAGAGTAATAGAACATAAAGCTTAAGAGAAAATCTTCCTCCAAAAATAATTAATCTAGTTGAATCATGGATGATTTTTCAAGTAATCAACCACTCTATTTTCCTCTCAAGATATATGATTCATCAAGTCCTTTATTGACAAAAAATCTTATTAACAATATTTATGTAATACTAAGAATTTGAATGAAGTAAAATCTAATTACTCTACTGAGAGAGGTTCTAAGTGACAATAACAGATAATTTCGTGGGTGAACAAAAATCCCATCAACCCCCTCATCTTCTCGGCTCTGACTTCTCCCGTCGATTGTTTGATGTATATATTATTTCAATTGTCTTATTAAGGGTTCTCATGCCTCTAGAGAGACCCTCACTTCTTTCTTTGTGTTGTAGTGTGACAAGACTCATATTGGTAGGGTTCATTGAGTTCTCTGACCCTTATCTTGGCTACTTCTTTTTCTTTGGGGATCACCCCTCTTGCACAATGTTTTTTCTGATAGAGGTACCTATTTCCTTCAAGGCTATTATTAGAATTGCCGAGGAGACTTTATCATCACATATATATGCTCCCTGTTGGGCTGACAGCTCATTTCAGCCCACAGCTCACCCCTTCTTAACCTAACCCTAATTTATATTGGGGGGGTGTGGTGGCTATAAAGAGAGGTAGAAAAAGGCAGCAACCAGATAGTTTTTGGTGGCAACGAGATTCCAAAGAAAAGGAGGAGAACAAGATAGAAAAGGAAGAGAAAGAAAGGAAAGAAGACAAGGACAACATAGAGACACTATTCTCAATCATGTAGTAGTGTCTTCATCTCAGGTTAGATCAGATCTATAGTAAATTCTTATTGTGATTACTTGGGGAGAATTAGGGAGGATTTAGATATTGTGTACAGTGACGTGATCCTTGTATCCCAATTCTTCTCTTGTGATTGTTGCTAGGGTTTTGGGCAAGAGATTGAGATTTATATATTCATTATTATTATAGTGGATTATCTCTAGTTTACCCCGTGGTTTTTACCCTTTACATTTGAGGGGTTTTCTACGTATATCTTGGTATTCTATTTTATTGTGATTCTATTTAATTCCGCTGCATGTTATGACCTGCTAGTATTTGTTCATATACAAAAGTTATTTCTCTTTACATCCCATTACTCCCAACAAGCTAGGTAATATTATTTCATGGGTGAACCTTGCTTGTTGGTCGAGGTACAAAGAGAATTTTTAGTTCCTTATTATCTATTTTTAATTTTTAATAAAATTAAAAAGTCCTTTGATGATAGTATTTCTTTTGTGGATAGCAAAGACCTTGACTCTTCAATTTGGTTAGACGCTTCTTGCTCCTCCTACTTTGCATATCCCTAATGATTTTGTGTTTAAGGCTCGTATCATCTCCTCTCTTCCTTTAATCTTAGATATAATTAACAGATTTTTTTTCTCCCTTTCCTTCTTTGGTCTTAGATATGATTAATGGATTTTTTTTTTTTAATTTTCATTCTAAAGCTAATGTGCTTAATGTTCTTATTCTTGGACCTTAGTCCCTTAGGGGCTAGTTTCTTCATATGTTTCCTTCACATCCAAATTTTAATCGAAACCTTCAAGTGTAGTTTTGTTTGAATCAAACTTCCGGGATTGGGTTGCCTTGTGAGTATTCAAATCAAGAATATTTATTTGTAATTATGAAAGTGTTGTGGTGTCCTATTAAAATTGATGACCAGTTTTGAAGTTTGAATGTAGTTGATTAGTAAATGCATGCATAAAGATTAATCTTTCTACCACACTCAAGTAAGCGATATTTTCACCACTAAGGGATTTATATGGTTGATATCGATTTGAGCTCTCACTCTTCTATTCAGGATATTTTTTTCTTATCCTCTTTTGTAATCTTATAAACATTTTATGTTAGAATTATAGAGGGCTAAGGAAAAATCTGTTAGGATCGAGAGCACTAAGAGGGGGGGGGTGAATTAGTGCAGCGGAAATCTTACAGCGATTTAAAA